GCGTAGAGGCATATCCTGGCTACACAATGCATGTTTCACTCGGTTCATTGCTCAAATATTGACGGAGCAGTAGCATTTTGCGCGACACATTCACCAACATGTATCTTGTAACCTATTTTAAAGAATGATATTGAGTATTATACTTGATAGGTTCTGATGATAAAAATAAAGCGATGCAATGAGCTGTTTGAAATAGCGCTGTCACTTCCGGATTCGTCTCTAAGTACAAGAATGCCTCGTCCAACAAAGCGAAGCAAGCAAATAACAGCCTTGGCTAACGAAAAGCGTCGCAAGAGTGCTCAAGCAGCGGGACGTCAGGTGCTCGAAGAACTCGCGGAGGAAGCCCGCCAGATGCCGTGGTGCTCTCCTGCATCCGTGCAGATTCTGAAAGACGACACTGACTCGGATGAAAATGACTCTGATTTCGAGGAGGGCCCCGACCTGTTTGTTGCGGATATTATTTACGCAAAGAAAACCAACCGAGAAGGTGAATCTTTTTATTTAGTAAGTTGGGTTAACTACGATCGCCTGACTTGGCAGCCGGAGCATGACTTGCCCTATCGGCTGATTGCAGAGTTCAACAGTGAGGAGTTGGGTGTCTTCTGGCCAGTTGACTACCGAGCCAGCATACCATTTGGCTTCGACGCAGGGCTCAACGCGAACGGGACTAGAGCTAGGCGCTAGCAATACAATTTAAATTGCGGGAATTTTTATTATTGTTGTTGTTGATATTGAAGTTTTTATTATTGCCCAACACTTCTTCCAATGCAATACAGAACTGAATTTTCGGACCTCTGGTGTCGATGTAGGCTTTAATTCTCGAGTTAGCTTTGCCTCCACAGAAGTCAGAGGGGAATCGGCAGCCATAGGTGTGTACCTTGACCAAAACATATAGTGAAATCAACCTTTTGGACTATTATCTTCTTGTAGCGCGCCTTATATTGTTCACCAGAAACGTGGCAACGCTTAGAGGCATAGTTAGTAGGTTTGTAGCGCTACTCGTGCCACGCTTTGGTCAGGGAATCTTCACCCCGGTCAACACGATTTGTTATGCAAATGCGTTATTTTATTTTTTCTGTTGTAAATCTAGGTAGCTGCATTTTGACATCTTTGCAGGATGTCGTATCGTCGCTTCTCCACAATTCTTTCCATACCACGACGACCCGCGCCGTTTTCCTTCACGTGACGCTTGCAAATGAGCAAAACGGTATGCTTAGACTGACTGAGAAAAGGAAAGGTTTCGTTTTTTTAACGGCTAGTGTATGATCATAGAGTAGATTCAATGCGTTGGTTTTCAACTCCTTTGCTGCGGTGGTTTGTTCCTTTGCTTTGTGGCAAAACTAATGACGTGCGCTGCCATGGAAGCTCATGATACTGCTGACATAATTGCGCTTCCTGACAGTAACGTTAACAGCGTTTTCTCCATCCAACTGATGAAGTAGGAAGTACCCTTGCCCATACTACGCACTAGCGAGACGCGCGTTCGTTTGGTACTTAAATATTGTGGTTTCGTATAGTTACGATAGCTTCTTCACTAAATCGTTGAAGGGCAAACGAAGTACAACTAGCACCAGGTTCAGCAAACAAAGTTGACCTCTTAACAATGCTGCTTATCCCAAGCAACCAATTAGCTCACGGTTACAGAAAATTCTGCTTATTGCAGGTTTTGTAGCGTATTAGTAGCAAGAGTTTAATCAAGCTGTATGCCCACCTAACTGGTACAGGCAAATAATTTATGCTTCTTCCCTTCACGGCCTTATTGTAGGATTCTGCCTTACAAATGCGTTAGTTGTTCAAAGGGCTGATGAGTCAATGACGAT